ACACTGACCTATTCCACTAAATAAAACATCATTGATTTCATAGTATATGAAAATATGGTAATATTGGTAATATGTTTATTACTTAACTAATTAGGTAACTATGGACTTAAGAGTTGTCTTCAGTATAGATACATCATATATGTTGCTATTAATGCTATTTAACATATATTTGAAAACAATAGACTGTCATATCTTAATTTTAATTTATATGATAATATATCTACACATATATAATATGTTTAAGAAAAAAGTTGTTTATTCTTAGTTGTTTTGATTTTTGATTTATCATAACTTTACTAATCCAATTATATCATTATAGAATATAGTAATAGTTAGTTAAAATAAGTCTTCAATTTTATTTAGAATTTAATAAATAATATTATTTAAATAATAGGAGTATAAATTATTGTCAATATGGAAAACAGAAAAAAGATCAAAAGTGGAGCTCAAAAAGCAAGAGAGAAGTCTATGAAATTACAAATGKAACAAKCCAAAAAATGTAAAAATATAGCATCGTTTTTTTCCTCTTCTAAATCTTCAACTAACAATTCTAGTCAATATGTTGATAAACAAAACAAAGACTTTGACTCCAAAGCAAATAGTCAAGAACTAACAAATATTATGCCAAGAAGTTCTTCAGTTGTTCAATCTACATCAATATCGAAAACTAATGATTTTTTAAATATTTCCATTCAAGAAATAAATAATACAAATGTTGAAAATAGTATTATTAATTCTAATGCACCACCTGTAGTGGTCGAAACAGATGTAGCTCTAGATTATTTTGTGAAACCGAATGAAAATATGAAAAACAATTTTTTTGAATACCACCCAGTTCAACCACATTTAGGGAATGTGCCTTATAATCCCAGGCTTGTGTTTTATGACAAAAATAAAATTAATAGACAATGRTTAACATTTTCTGAAAAGAAAAGAGCTTTTTTTTGTTCTTGTTGTTTAGCATTTAGTAATCCTATAGAAAAAAATTTGTTTGTGGAAGGAATGTATGATTTAAGTACAAAACMTATAYATACAAGAATTGAACAACATGAGACTAGTCGCCATCATTTAAACAATGTTGAAGCATATATGTTAAATTATAATCRAGTTGATATTGAAAATCTTTTATTTAAAAAACAGCTGACCTTAAGAAAAAGCCAGGTTCAAGAAAGACGAGAAGTCTTGGAAARGATAATTRAAACAATTAAAACCATTGGCAAACGAGGAATGAGTTACAGGGGAACACAAAGCGAAGCATCTCAATCGTTAAGTAACACAAATATTGACCATGGAACATTTCTAGAACTAATTTTACTGATAAGCAAGTTTGATGCTACAGCTAACAGTTTAAGGTTAGAGTTTTTTGATTTTAAATCAAAATGGCCAAAATTATGCCAAAAAGTTCCTTCAGATTATAATATAGATTATGAAAATGACAGTGACCAGAGCGATAATGATATGAGTGATTTGCAACTAAACAAACAGAGTTGTAAGAAAACATGTAAAAATTGCATTTTATGTGTTTATTTAGTTTTAAAAAAATTTAACTTCCATTAAAAAGCTTATAAATGTTTATACTTGGCATATAAGTTTATTTTAACACTTTCTGTTAGTCAAGTAGCGTGCGAGAGAAGCTTTTCTAAATTAAAAACAATAAAAACTAGACTTCGAAATTCTTTAAGTCAAGATAACTTGGAAGCATGCATGATGATGTCAATTGAAAAAGATA